TCTGTGACTTAGCGTATAAGTTATTTACACGTAGGTACCAAAAAAATGAGGACCAGAATTAGGAGTTGCAAGGACATCATACATTTACTAGAAGATCAGATCAGAAGAAATTTGCAAAGTATGTATTTTGTTGTATTAAGTGTGTTGCCATGTAAACAAGTTGTGAATTACACATGCTCTGATCGATTTTGTATTATTTTGGTCTAACTTATGTAAATTAACGCATTTTATTTAATGAAAGTTTAGATTTTCATGATTTTTATAAGAGTCAAGTTTTGAAAGGTCAAATGTGACACCTAAGATTCATATCCGGGTTGGGTACGGGTTGGGGGTGTTACAAAGAGGGTATGACCTCTCTTTAGAATTCTGGCCATCGTGCCGCTGTTCAGGCTGCCGCCAGTTGACGCGCCGCCGTCCGTGGCACAGTCGCCTCTTGTGGTCGTTAGCCATCTAATTTCACCGATCGACTCACCTTGACCTCTCCGTCCCGAATCTGTGCTCTATTTCATCGGGAGATGCGCCGAACGTCGTGAAAATGCTAAAAATTTCACGACTTTCCTCTCTCCGATCCGTCGTCTTTCTTCGTCAGATCGTCGTGAGCTCCGAATGTGTTGTTCACCATCCTTTTGCGCAGCTTTTCCCCATTGGGATTATCAAACAGAGATTACTAACATCGTCCTCTCTCACCGGTCGAAGGTAAACTCTTTCTTTTCTTATTTTTTTTATTCTTCTCACTCTCTTTCTTCTCCTGTTTGACCTCACCGGAATATACTCGAACGTGCGAAAAAACAAAAGGGATGTGTAAAAAAATCTTTTTATTGATTCGAAATGGTGGGAATACAATGGTTGTGTTTTTCTTTATATTCCATGCTCCCCTGATTTTGTATCCTCATTCGAATCTGCTTCCCCCTTTACAAATTTTCTTTCTCGGTGGTTCCTCCTCTACATTTTTTTTGGAAAACCAAGTGCCTCCCCCTTCCCCTTACAAATTGTTTTCGGTTTCGAATGAATCCCCCTAAAGTTTTTCTTTTTTCGGGAAAAACCGAGAGCCTCTAGTATAATCTGCTCCCTTTTTTTTACATCCCATTGCATCAAATTATAAAAATTGATTGACTGTTGATTTTTGGAGTGTTGCAGTGGTTCTGGTGTTGGCAGTGACTTCACGTGGGAGATGATGACCTTGCTCAGCTGGTGGTGGTAGGAGTAGCTGGTGGTGGTAGGAGTAGCTGGTACTTCCCGTGGGTGATCAAACTAGATCTGGGTCGGGTTGTAATTTTTTAATTTGGGCCGAATTTGGTTTGTTGGGTATTGGGTTGTAATTTTTTGCCCAGGTGGGCTTGTTGTACTGGTCTGCAAAAGAAATAAAATAAACGTTAATAATAAAAAATAAATAAAAATGGGTCTTCGGACTATAACGGGTGTCGACAATAGTATTAACGACATTACTAGTATTGTTTCTCTAATTATACTCATTGGCATACTTATGTTATGAATGCATGTAGATAGTGTAGGTATTGTGTGATGCGAAACTTGCGAGCTCAATGTTTGGAATGTGTTTCCATTCTCATGTTATAGGTTTCTTGGAGTACGACGGGACAACGATATTATCGAAGGAGTCTAACGAAGTATCATAGTACAATGATGACGTGTTGATGGGCATATAAAGTTTATGATTTATAAATGAGTCAAGTTGTAACATTTTAATTATTTATTGTTTTTGTTTTTAAATGGGCCCCCGTTTTATTTATTTTTACATTTTCATACTTTGTGTAAACGTTTTAAAAAATTGAGTATGGTAAAAAAATGTTAGTCACTTTGGTGATTCCATGTGACACTCGAATCCGTAGGATTAAGGTGTTACAATTAATGTTATTGCAGAGATGTTCATCACTATGACGACATCAGAACACCAGAGGTAACCTTAAAAAATGGGTAAACTACATAAATAATTCTAACAATCGTCGGGTAGCCAATAAATTTTAATTTTTAACATTAAGAAATATACAAGATTTATGATTCGACTTTTGTGTAATTTGTTATCAACTGTATGATATTTAAAAAATTAAATATAAATTTTAGTTTTTAAATTAATTTTAATTTTGATCCTAGATTTTATTTTTATATAAATTTTACTTTTTACGTACTTTTTCTTTTTTAAATTATAATATTTTAATGAATTTTGAATTATATATTTCATCTCTTTGAAATTGAAGTTGGAATTAAATCAATATTTTTATTTTTTTAAATCAGTTTAAAATGATTATTTGAATTCTAGTTGAGACTTAGGATTTTTCTACTTATATAGAGTGCAGAAATATTAATATTCATTTTCATATATATAAATTCAGACCTGCAGTATATATGGATTAAAATCCACTTATGTAAAGTGCAAAAATATTAAATTTGTATATTTTTAAATTGTTAAATAAATAAACACAGATAGTTTAGATTATGTTTTTAATAAAAATCTCTTCATTCTATATTATTAATCTCAAGGAAAAATCTACGATGCTCGACAAACACCGATGAGTATCATTAATAATGAGCACCGTTCATTTAATTTGTAAAAATTTAAAATTATGAATGACTCAATGTATAATTATAAATTAGTTAAAAATATAAAGGTAAATTATTTAAAATAAAATATTAATTACATTATTCTCCATAATATTTTTTGGATAAAATATAGCACTGACCACCTAACGATTGCCCCTTTCATTTTGACCACCATTTTTGAAATTTTTTCAATTAGGTCGTCTGACTATTTAAATGCATTCAATCAAGTCACTTGCCATTAACATTTAATGGAAGTGCTGATGTGGCGCTAATAAAATTGATATAATTACATATTTGATCCTCAATATTTATAAATTCTACCAATTTGATTATAATTTTTAATTCAATTTAATAAACTTAACTTCAATTAGGTGGTGACACATGTTACTACTAGATTAGAGGATATTTTATTAATTTTAATTATTTTTTTTTGTATCTAATCTCAGGTGGTGAGATGTATCACCACCTTATTTGATAAGCAAAACACAGTAAAATGTAATCTACTCTTAGAGAGAATTGAACTAATGTCTAAGAGCATCACAAGGCACGCTTAAACCACTGGGATGTGCTCCTCAATCAATAATATGTTACAACATTTTATATATTTGGTTTCCAGCTGAAGACCATATGATATAAAGAAAATAAATTGAAAAGAAAATAAGTAACTTGAGGGGATTTAACTTTGGCCTCATGATATGTTTAGGTGAATTCTTACCACTGGACCAACAATTAATTTTGGCTCGTATCTTACAATATATTATATCTACATTGTATTATATCAAAAACAATAAAATGAATCAAACCTTAATTTTTTTTGGGGATAATATATAAACACCAAAACTATTTAAGCAAATTTAATTAGTGATTCATAAATATATACATTTTAAAATATAGTTAATATAAGATTTAAAATAATAATAAATTTAATATTTTAAAATAAAATTCAATATGTATAAAAAATAATTTAATATTTTTAAAATAAATTTAAAATTTAAAAATCAATTTCATCGAATTCAGATTCTAAACTATATTTATTTTTATATTATTAAATAATAATTTTAATTTTTTAACATAATTAATAATCTTTATATATATAATTTCTTTATATTTAACCAATAATTAAAATTAAAATTATTAATTATATTGAAAAAGTTAATTTAATGATTATATATAAGGAATAAATATAGTTTAAAAATATAAAAATCTAAATTTTATTTTTATTTTTTTAAAAAAACTCAATTTAGTGATTATATATATAGTAAATTTTAATCAAATATAGGGCTTGAATCCCTTTACAAGTATGTTGGTTTCTTTTTTTTTTTCTCTTTCATTAGTTATAACAACTTATATATATAATTTTGTAAATAATTGCCAAGTGAAGTGCTTAGCTTAGTGATTTAAGTGTGCCTTGGTGTGTTACAAGTCATTGGTTCAATCCCTCTTAGAAGTAGATTATATTACATGCCTTTTATAAAATTAATAAAATATTATCCAATCTGGTAGTGACATGTGTCACCACCTAATTAAAGATTAAATTTATTAAATTAAATTAAAAATATGACCAAATTGATAGAATTTATAAATATTAAGGATTAAGTATGTAATTATAGTAGTATTATTAACTTGCCAATCTGGTAGTGACATGTGTCACCACCTAATTAAAGATTAAATTTATTAAATTAAATTAAAAATATGACCAAATTGATAGAATTTATAAATATTAAGGATTAAGTATGTAATTATAGTAGTATTATTAACTTGCCAAGTCAATACTTCCGTTAAATGTTAACTAGTGACTTGATTGAATGCATTTAAATAGTTAGATGACTTGATTGATAAATTTTTAAAAATGGAGGTAAAAATGAAAAAAAAGCAATAGTTAAGTGGTCAGTGGTATAATTTACCCATAAAAGATTTTAGAAAATAATATAATTAAGATTTTATTTTAAATAATCTACCTTTATATTTTTAACTAATTTATAATTATAGGTAGAGTTTAAATTTTTATAAATTAAATTAATAATGTTCATCTCAGTGATACTAATCCGTGTTTGTCGCGTGGCAAACTCATCTTAATCTCAATCATCTTTTCATTCACCAACAATCCTAATAAGAGATAAAAAATAATTTACATTATAAAAACGGGTTATAATTTTTTAAAATTTTATACATTTGTAAATAATTGAATTAACTGAATTTAATAATTTATTTTTTGTAAAAATATTTTTATTTTCTAATATTATAATTTTTATATGATTAATATCTTAATAGTTATATACATAAATATATATAAAGAGTAGAGTGTTGGGCTTCCCTTAGAATGGGTTGGGTTGTGTTTGTATTTTTCTATATTTTGATTTTATCAAAATTGGGCGAGAGGTCATTTTGATCAGATTAATCATTCATAAAAATCTAATTCTGTTGGATTCTAATTTATATGTTAGATTGCGTCAAATATTATCATTCACACTCTTGCCGCCAGTCTCCTCAGGCTGCATTTTCATGACTGTTTCGTCACGGTAATCGATTTTATGTTATAAATATATATATGTGTCGACTGTTAAAAATATTTCTAGATTCGTTCTTAACGTGCTTAATTGGTCAGGGATGCGACGTTTCCATTCTGTTGAACCATGATGGGAGTGAGAGGAGAGCCGAGACGAGCAAAACTTTGAGAGGATTCGACGTGATCGACAATATCAGGCGGAGGTGGAGAAATCCTGCCCTGAAACAGTTTCTTGCATCGACATTCTAACGGTGGCCACCAGGGACGCCACTGTTTTACTCGGAGGTCCTTATTGGAGGGTTCCCTATGGCAGGAAAGATTCTAAGACTTCGAATGAAACAGACGCCTACACGGTTCCGATCAGTCGCGAAAAACTTATAGATCTGCTAGAGTTGTTCCAATCCAAGGGTCTCAACATAGTAGACCTGGTAGTTCTCTCAGGAAAGCACACCATTGGAAGGACATCATATTGTGCAATTTAACATAGGATATACTCGAATGGAACATCGGACATGTCGAATCCACTGATCGAAGATCGATACTTGGATCTTGCAGAGAAAATGCAGATGTGGAGGTGATGAGTATGTTGATATTGATGCTACAACACCAACCACATTCGACTCTGTTGATCTTGATGCTACAACACCAACTACATTCGACTCCCAATTTTATGCCAATCTGGAGAGAGAGATGGGACTTTTATCAACCGATCAAAGGCTTTATTCTGATTCAAGGACTTAACTAGTGGTTAATGCTTTGAGCCAAACCCCACCTCTTTTCAGGCACCAATTTACAGCGTCCATGGTGAGGCTGGTTAATATTCAAGTCCTGTCCGGTCTACATGAAGATGGGGAAATTCGAACCAACTGCAATTTTGCAACTCTTATTAATGATTGGTTTGTCTTCCATATTTGTTTTTGCCATGCTTTGCTATTGAAACAATTACTGTTGCTCTTTCTTTGTTTCTTGATGATGTTTTGACAGAGTAATCATATACCGGTTGTAAGCTCAAATTAAGTTATGATTCGCTTTGGCTATCTATTTCCGTTGTTCTCGCAATTATTCTATTATATCAACCATTTAAGACTGTTGATGTGAATTTTTTAATTGGTCCCTGATTAAAGGATGTTGTTTTGTTGAGTTTCTTAATTATTAAAAGTTACAAAAATGATCACCCGACTATTCATATGTTCTAAATTCATCCTTTTCCATTAAAAAATCGGTGGCCGTTTGTTGACTGGGATATGATAAAATCTGATCTCAGAATCGTTTGAGTTGTATTTTGCGGATCGACTCTTCGTTTACATTATGTCGTCTAGTCAGTGCTTGAAACATTATACCTTCTAGCCAGTGCTTGAAAGTAATGGTGGTGCCAGTAGACATAATTAAAATATGATTTTATCATATCTCAGTCAGCAGGTTAATGATCAGCCTAGATGGTCGTCAATTTTTTAAAGAAAAATGATGAGTTTTACATATAAATAGTCGAGTGACCATTTTGTAACTTTTAATAGTCGGGGAACTCAACTGAACAACATCCTATAATCGGGGGATCATTTTGAAACTTTAATAGTCGAGGGATTCAACAAAGTAGTATCTTATAGTCATGGAGCATTTTTGTACTTTACCCTACTATATTAAACAAAGTAATACAATACTATTAACTATCTAATATCTATAACTCTGTTATTAAACTAATACTTTATTTTATTGACTTCTTTCTTTTTTTCCCTCCACCCCTGCTAATAGACTATTCTCAACAAGGCACCTTTAATATTACATCTTTTAATCTCCTGAAGAAAACAAATAACACAACTCCAAACTCCATTGCTATTGATTAGTTTCCTCAAGACGATGACATGTATATGCATGTTTCCTCTTTTATTAGCATCCATCCAAGTGTTTAGTGAGTCTCTGCAAGGTTTGTGGTTGACAAGAATAGCATCAAGGTGCTATCTCCATTGAGTCTGAGAGGAAAACACGATGGTTCTATAGGTAACTTCAGGATACCAGACTATGGTGGGTTCATTATAGGCTCTATGGTTTATCAAGACAAAGGAGCTAATGGTTGTGAACCCTTTGATGGTCATCCCTTTAAGCCCAAGTCTCCTCTCCTCTATGTCCTCCTCCTTGATCGTGGAAGTATTTCTCCCTCCATTTCTCTTCAATAATATTGTTAAAATCAACTTAATGTTATACCTTTTTTTTGTTCCCTTGATGAATTGCATGTCCATATGCTTCAGTGTAACAGTATTAACAGTTAATTTATGGTATGCAGGGGTTAAATTTTTCTTCTCAAGGTTTTTTTTCCTTTTTCTTTGAACAATGGCTTGGTTTTCCTCTCTATAATTTGAAATAAAGCCTTGTATGTCATGATTCTCGTCGTCAACTCATAATCGTTCTTGACCTGCTGTGTTGCACTTGTAGAATGCTACTTTGCCTTGAAGGTATGACATGGCCAACAGGATGGGGCTGCTGCAGTATTAATGACTGATAGCATAGATGGACCTCTAATAACTACGAATTCTCCTAAGGAAAACAGTGATGCAAATTAATACGTTGAGAAGATAGGGATTTTGTCGGCTTTGATATAAAAGTCTTTCAGTGACAACCTTAAAGAGGCCCTAAAGAAGCATGAAGATGTAGTGGTAAAACTAGACTAGAGGGAGTTAATGCTCCATCCTGACCAAAGGGTTGAGTATGAGCTGTGAACCAATAAAAATGGCGAGTGTGGCGTTCGTTGTGACGAGCATATGAATTTCGTAAAGAATTTCAAAGGCCATGCGCAGATATTTGAAAAGGGGGTCACACTTTGTTCACACTACATTACATAACTTGGTATTGTCCTGAAGCCTTTATCTTTAGCGGTCAGTGCAAGTCCCAGTTTATAAACCAAGGAAGATATTGTGATCCTGATCCAGAACAAGATTTTGGATAAGGATATCAAGGAAAGGATGTGGTGTTTGAGAACTTGAGATATCTTTATGTGCACAAAGTTTCCAATGAGAGCAAGAGGCCCTGGATTTGGTGGGATTATGTGACAGATTTCCATATCAGGTGTTCGATGAAGGTGAAGAGATATATCAAAGAATGTGCTGAGGGTGTCATGAGTTATCTTGGTAAGTGTTATTTTATTCAGGATTTTTGTGTGTCTTCTGGTATTCTTGCTTGATCGATTTTGTATGCTCAACTAGATTTGCATGTTGAGAAAATCAGAAAGTACATGGGTGATCCTGAAGCTGATGTCGAAAATGAAGTCCTGAAACATGATAACAACTTTAGGTACACCTTTTTCTTTGCCCATATTAAAGAACAAAGTTAATGTCTTAAGATCAATGATCTTAAGTGATCGCGTGTATAAGTGTGTGTTATGGCACGCAAATTTGTGCAAGTATACACAATCAATGCAAGCAATATAACAGTGAGTGAGTATCATCTCCACAGGGATTGGAGGGTTTTTAAAAGATTGTTATAGCTAGGAATAAGTGTCATTAACTAATCCTAAGTATCTAAGTCTAATGATATAAACAAGGAAAGTATGCAGTAGCAAAGGTATGAATAGATGGAAAAAGTTTGGCTAAGGCAAGAAAAAATGTGAAGTGAGTAGAAATGTTTTATCGTGGCAAGAAAAATATGTTAAGGTAAACAAATAAAAGTTGTCAAGGCTAAAGTTGTCAAAACTCTATAAATAGACTGGAAACCTCACATAATTAGACTTCTAAAAGAGCACTTGGGTTGGATTTGCTATGACGAGAAATTATTCTATGGCTAGGATTATCTAGTATGCTATGCCTATGTTGCTCGACAGGATTTACTAAAGTATTTTAAGATTTTTGCTACGACAATAATACTCGGCATGAACTACAACCCTTGGTTTATCAAATTGTTGTTGTAGCAATACCCCTCAGCGTAAACTGTAGCTTTTCGCCTATCTTATTCAAGTATTTACCCTTTTTAGTCAAATAAAACCCTCTCCTTATCTCTAAGGTGGGTTAAAACCTCCTATCCCAGATTAGTTCCCTTGTTCACGTAGATCTAACCTAACTCTCTCGATATTAGGCATCAACTCCTATAAAAATGGCAATCTCTCAAAAGCTTTTACAATGCCAAGGAAAAAGATTAAAATATTGAACAAAACAACATTCAACAAAAACATACTTCAATCATTCATTAACATTAAAATAAAATATCATCCAAGCATTTCCAACACCAAATAAAACAATTTATGGTGTGGTTAACATCATCCCAAAACTATTCATTAAGTACAAGCCCTTAGAAAAATAAAACATGAAGAACAAGGAAAGAAAAACTCCCAAAGCATAGCTCTGTCGTGACATCAGACCACCACCATGACTGCTCCAACGGCTAACCTTTGTCAAGAACCTAGTCGCTGTTCTAACGAAGCCTAGCTATTGAGGGCACCAAGGACGGATGAGTGGGGAACGATGGAAAAGAGTATGTTGCGACTGCCTTTTTCCAAGAATATGGTATTTTCTATATATGATTCTGAACACTTTATGAAGAGTTATAATGGGATATTTATAGTGGAAATTTATAGGGTTTAGTGCCCTTGTAAATTTCCTAAATACCCTTAAAGTTAAACCCTTTTTATGAATAACATAGCAGTTTACGGTGGTCTCAAATTCCTTGATGAGGGCATGATTGCACTTGAGGTAGATTGAACAGCTGCCCATTGGACGTCAGTAATTTTGTCTCGTATTGCGTCAGACTAGCGAGATAAAACTCGCCTTGGCAAGAAAATTTGTTCCTCATTGTCATCGTCTTCTATTCCACTGGCCATAGCAAATTAATTTGTCTTAGCAAATAAATTCTTCCTCAGTCATTTCCTGCATCATCACAATCAACAAACATCCTTTCTCATCAGTATTATTAGTTTAATCAAATAAACATTGCCTAGACAAAACTTATCCACCACATGAAAATATGTCCTAAATGCAACTATATGCAGCTAAAATACTATGTTAATGGCTTTTAGACAATCAATAAATTAAGTAAAAAGTCTTAAAATATAATATTTTTACGGAGTTATCACACCCACAAACTGAAGCTATTGCTTGTCCTCAAGCAATGGATAATGAGCAATAGAAAAATGAAATGCTATGGCAAAGTAAAGTGGTTTAAATTTAAGACCTTAGTAAAAAGTTTGGCCTCAACATGATAGACTAACTGAGAAGTCAAGTGCCATTCCCTAGGTCAGGATCCTTTGTCAGTGTGTGTGCGTGATTGCATCTAGTCTATGCTTAACGTATTTAGAAAACTCCTAAGTAAGTTCTTTTGTTTTGCCAAGGCATAAAATTACTCATTAAGCAAAGCTTCACTCCTGTTTATTCAACATCTAGTTTCATATTTTTTCTTCTTTTTTTAACATTGCTTCGAGGGGAGTCAGCCCATCACACCTACCGTCCCACACTCTAGGTGAAAGCGAGGATACCTTCTGATAACTCCATAAAAAGACTCTATTTTTAGTATTTTTACTTAAGTTATTGCTCTTCTAAACAATGTAGTCATAGCATATTAGTTGCATTTATGTTATAATTTCATAGGGTGGATAAGTTTTGCCTAGACAAGATTTATTTGGTTTGATTAATGTTGCTGAGGATAAAGGGCTTGTGTGGATTGTGTGTTTATGAATTAACTTAGGAGGAACATTTCAGTCGTGAAAATATATTTCCCAAGGGCCAGTGGAACACAAAAGACAAAGACGGGGAGGAACAAATTTA